TCTTTCTCTCTCTCTCTTCCTCTTTCTCTCTCTCTCTCTCTCTCTCTCTTCCTCTCTCTCTCTCTCTTCCTCTCTCTCTTCCTCTCTCTCTCTCTCTCTCTCTCTCTCTCTCTCTCTCTCTCTCTCTCTCTCTCTCTCTCTCTCTCTCTCTCTCTCTCTCTCTCTCTCTCTCTTCCTCTCACTCTCCCTGTCCCTCCCCCCTCTCTCTCTCTCTCTTCCTCTCTCTCCCTGTCCCTCCCTCCCTCTCTCTCTCTCTCTCTCTCTCTCTCTCTCTCTCTCTCTCTCTCTCTCTCTCTCTCTCTCTCTCTCTCTCTCTCTCTCTCTCTCTCTCTCTCTCTCTCTCTCTCTCTCTCTCTTCCTCTCACTCTCCCTGTCCCTCCCCCCTCTCTCTCTCTCTCTTCCTCTCTCTCCCTGTCCCTCCCTCCCTCTCTCTCTCTCCCTCTCTCTCTCTCTCTCTCTCTCTCTCTCTCTCTCTCTCTCTCTCTCTCTCTCTCTCTCTCTCTCTCTCTCTCTCTCTCTCTCTCTCTCTCTCTCTCTCTCTCTCTCTCTCCTTCCTCTCCTCTCCTCTCCTCTCCTCTCTTTCCCTCTTATAAATGTAAACGATGCGGTAGCTATTTAGAATAAAAAATGCATTAGACTCCCATCCCAGCGAAGAAGTCTGCAGAAAATGGAATCGATAGACGCGCGAAGGTATGCGTTTCGGAATAACGAAGATATGAATGATAACAGTTGCTATAAAAAAAAAAAAAACGTCACAGTTAGAGTGAGTTAAACAAGTTCGAAAACTATTCCCAAGCAGTAGTGACAGTAGCAGTAGTTACGGGAGTAGGTACTAGAAGTAGAAATAGTAGTAGTAGTAGTAGTAGTAGTAGTAGTAGTTTTATTAATGACAAAATAGTAGTAGCAAAAGCAGATGTTACACAGGATGCAGAAGTAATGATAACAGTAGTAACACTAGCAGTAATAGAAGTGGTGATATGAACATGGTAGCAGGTTTTTGAAGGTCATACAATGGTGCAACTAGCAATAGGAGTAATGGTTGTGGTAGTAAGGTTAGTAGTTTTAGTAGTCGTATTAGAATTGGAAATATAAAACGTGGTTGTAATAGAAGTGTTATTACTAGTAGTAGAATATGAACTGTAATAATAACAATAGTTTTAGAATAATAGCATTAGTAAGACTGTGCAGTAGCAGAAAGCAGTAGTAGTAGTAGTAGTAGTAGTAGTAGTAGTAGTAGTAGTAGTAGTAGTAGTTGTAGTAGACAAAAGTAGCGTCAGTTTAGGGAAGGAGAAAAAAGAAGAAAGGAGGAAATTAAGAGAAATAGAAATATGATTATTATGATAATGTTGGTAGTAATATTGATAATCATGATAATGATGATTATGAAAATGATAATGATGATGATGATGATGATGATGATGATGATGATGATGATGATCTTTCCCTTTTCTTTCCCTCTCCCTCTCTCTCCCTCTCTCTCTCCGCCTACGTTTCCCTTTCCCGCTCTGTCACCCCTTCCTGTCCCCTCTTCTTCCCTCCTTTTTTCTCCTCTATCTCCTTCGTTCCCTTGTCAGTCTTCTTCCCTCCCCCATTTCCCTTTTCTCTTAGTGCCCCCTCTCCCTTCCCTCCCTCCCCCTCTTTCCATTACCCCCCACCTGTCCTCATTACCCCCCCCCCCCCCGTATCTCACTTTTCGCCCCTTCCCTCTTTCCCTCCCTTTCTCCTCCCCCCCCTTTCTTCTCTTTCCTCTCCTGCCTCCCTTCTCTACCCCCCCCCCTCCTTCCCCCTTTCGGAGAGTCGGTTAAATGAAATGATAAATAAATGAAATTAATAAATAACTGACGGTCTGTTTCCTCCAGTGCAGTGTATTTGCCTCGAAGAATAATGATAATAGTAACAATAATGACGATGATGATGACGATGATGATAATAAAATAATATCATTAACAACAACAATAATAATAATAATAATAATAATAATAATAATAATAATAATAATAATAATAATAATAATAATGATAACAATGATAACAATAATAATAATGATAATGATAATGATAATAATAATGATAATAATAATGATAATAATAATAATAATGATAATAAAAATGATGATAATAATAATGATAATAATAATAACAATAATCATCATCATCATCATTATCATCTTCATAATGATAATGATAATTATAATGATAATGATAATGATAATAATAATGATAATGAACAGCGAAGTAACAGTGACGATGATAATGAAAATAATTATAATGATAGAGTTAGAACAGGATTCAAGTAGATTCGTAATATGATGCCGATACGCGCGCGCGCGTGAGAGTGTGGTGTCTTTCTGAAATATTTATGTTGTTCGTTATCACTCCATTTAACATTAGAATGAAGTGACTTTAGCTCTACAATCATATGAAATATATTTTAAGTGAAAAATGCAAGCAAGTAACGTGCAAACGGACGGACGAAACGCAAGCAGGGTAATGATATAAATAATAATACGAAAATGAAGAAGAGGCAACAGATTAAATTGTCTAAGCAATGCTGTCTTTTTCCTCCACCAAGAGGTCACAGAAGAGAAAAGGTCATGGAGTTATATTATTCTATGAAATATGATACAGTCGTATGTGGCCTCAGTGGGAGAGACCGCTGGGTTACAAAGTTTTTTGAGTTGGGGAATTCCTAAGCGGGGAAAAAAACAAAATGATAGAGAGTTGGGTTTCTCGAAAAGGAAAAAACAAATGAAAAATAAAAATTAAATTAAACAGAAAAGATGTTTAAAGGATGTAAAAGGTTGCGTTGACAAAACTTGATAACAGTTTAAATTTGTTCGCTTAAAACGGCGTTTAGATTTCCTGTTAAGTTTATTTGTTTCTTTTATATGTTTTAACCAAAGTAAAATGTGTATGGTAATTATTGATGTTTTATCATTATTACTATATTGTTATTGATAATTTATTGATATTGTTAATGCTATAATTTCTGTTTGCCGTTGTTAGTTTATCATTACTTTTAATTATAATAATCATAATGGTTATTGTTATTATTATTATTCTTACCATCATTATCACTTATTTGTTATTATAATAATAATAATTATTATTATTATAACTGTTATTATTGTTATTATCATTGTTATTATTGTTATTATCATTTTTGTTGTTATTATTATTATTATAATTATAATTATTATTATTATTGTTATTATTATTATTATTATTGTTATAAATATTATTATTATTGTTATAAATATTATCATTATTATTATTATTATTATCATGAGTGTATGTGTGTGTGTTTGTTTATTTCTTTGTGCGTATGTGCACACGAGGGGCGCTTATTAGATATTTCCCCTGGCCCACTTCCTAGGAAGCTGAAATGCCACATGCATAATCACACATCTCTATAGGCCGTTTCCTTACCACATAATGCGATTTCTGTTACAGCGGTGGTGTTAGTAGGATGTGATCAGGTTTTTATGGCCTCATTTCACGTAGTTTAACCTCAGCATCGCCAGTTCAGGTGAGGTCGGAGATCACTGAAAGCGGCTCCCATCCCACGGCGACCCCAGTCTGCCATTGCTGAGGACATCATCCATCAAGTGGAGACTGCCATTTTGGAAGATCGCCGTATTACTGTTCGTTAGCTATGCCGAAATGTCAAGATTAGTGTTTGGTCTGTGGATAAGATTATTCTTGAGTAACTGCATATGCTTGATGGGTCTTCAGACTACTTACACCTTTCCAGAAGCAGGAGCGAGTCCATTATTCCAAGGCTCTTTTAGCCATGTGCCAAGAAAACCGGATTTTTTTTAATAGACAATTTACAAAGGGTGAAACTTGAGTCTATCACTATGATCCTGAAAGTAAGGGCCAGTCAAAACAATGGAAGCACTGTGACTTAAAAAGGCACATGTCACACCCTCGGCAGATCATGCTCACGGTCTTTTGGGACCAACACGGAGTAGTGATGATAAATTTCCTGGCAAAAAATACGACAATTATAGTTATGAGTTAAGGAAATCAACACACATAGAGATATGTATGATTATGCATGTGAAATTTCTGCCTCCTAGGGTCAGGGCAAATCTTTAATGTAAAAAAGGGAATAGTTTATTTATATCCCTAACATTTCTGTTTTATTTAAGACGCAACAGATAACAGCTGTCATAACTGTCCTTTTAGGGATAATCCAGAACTTGTGACAAACAACTGCTTCATTTTTTGTCACATTAGAACGGCCACAGACACACAAAGCCACAATCTAAAAATGTACCTTATCTAAGCCGGTTGTCAGCAAGTGTATTCGCCCCGATAAAAGTAAATCATTTGATCAAGTATCTGGTAACTCAAAGCAGATAAGAGACAGGAAACAATAGAGCTGCCAAGTTTGTGCAAGATTAGATACAACCTTTGATGACATAAGTGGCAGATGCATGACTGTACGAGACAACACGTGAAGAAGAAAGATGGTGGAGGATGGAAGTAAGTGGGTACACGTGGTATGGTAGATTAGGAAACAGGGAGGTGGAGACGTGAGAAGAAGGGGTGATAAGGGGATAGGTTTGTGGGGTTTGACTGTGTTATAGGACGAAGAGGGATGGAAAATGGAGGTGATTCTGACGTGTATATGTATTGTTGTGTTTAGTGTGTGTTTAGTGTGTGTTTTCTCTTCTGTATGTTAATTATTTCGGTTTATTATGGTAACTATTTTTATCGTTCATGTACTAGGAACTTCACTGTAGGGGAAGAGGGGAGGAAGAGAGAGGGGGTAAACGGGGGGGGGGGGGGGGGGGCACAGGGAACAAAGACTAGTGTTTATGACAGTCACGTTAAGTATGTGAACTTTTATTGATTCAGGAGATGAGGTCCACCAAGACTTTCGGGAATGATAAGTCGTTGATGAATAAGGCATTCTTGTGTAAGTCTTTTGTGCCGAGTATTTTTTGTTTTTATTTTATCGGTGCTAACCCCCCCCCTCCCCCAGGCGAAGGAATGGAGGAGGAGAGCCTGTGCTGCACCGTGTGCCAGGAGCGCTTCTCAGACACGCGCACGCCACGCCAGCTCACCTGCGGCCACTCCATCTGCTCGCCGTGCGTCCGCGGCGTCATCGACAACGACCGCCGCTGCCCCGAGTGCCGCCGCACCTTCGACGCCACCAACCCCGACGACCTCGCAGTCAACTACCAGCTGCTGCGGCTCGTGCGGTGCCTGGCGAGCGGCGGGCCCCCGCAGTTACTGCTGGACGCAGGCGGCGTGCGCGAGCCAGACGCGGGCCGCTGCGAGGCGCACGGCTCGCTGCGCTTCTTCCGGTGCATGAGCTGCGGCGCGTGGGTCTTGCCGCGACTGCCTCGTGTTGGAGCACGTGGGGGCCGCCGCGCGGCACGTGTAGGGTCGTGTCCTCGTCCAAGGCCATCGCGGAGATGAAGGAGAAGCACCTGCAGGCGCTCCGGGAGGAGTCGGCCGCCCTGCTGCAGGCCAAGAGCCTCAGCGCCGCGCAGATCACCACCATCACCACCATCAAGACCAACCTGAGGGACACCATAGCGCGCCTGCGAGCCACCATCAACGAGGAGGAGCTGTACCTACAGTCGCTGGAGGACCGCGCCAGGGAGGCCCGCGCCAAGACGGACGAGCTGGAGGCGCAGGAGGAGACGCTGCGCGAGATGGCCAACCGCATGACCTCTGCCGAAACCACCATGGAGGTCACCAACCTGGGCGTGGAGGCCGAGGAGGCCGTCCGCCAGACCAAGCGGCTGGTCGAGAGGGAGAAGGAGGCGCAGGCGCACCTCCTCATGAAGCTCAACTCCCGCGGATTGCAGGTGCGTGCACGGACCGCCCTCGAGGTTAGTAAGGGTCGCGGGGCTTCCCGCGGGGTGACAGGTCTAGGCACAAGTTAGGGGGGGCAACCGAACGTCAGTCGGGCCCTTTAGCTGTGTTAGGCCTCAGCAGGAGTCAGCAAATGCTGCCGAGACTAGCTAAGAAGTACAAGACATTCCCAGAAGCGATCACGAATCATTATCTTTTTTACCCGGGATCAGCGGGAGATCAAACAGGGCGCGGGGGAGGGGAGGAGGGAGGGAGGGAGGGAGGGAGGGAGGGAGGGCGCATTAGGACGTCGCATACTTGAGGATTAGGGACTCGCCGAGCGATCAGGTGCACGGCGATGATGAGGTCAATTATCTCATCATGATCTCCATCAGCCCTAATCGATATAAATGCATAGTACACGGCGATACTTGCTGTGCATGCCACCTCTCCTTGCCATGCAGAATGAAGAAGAAAGATAGAAGAAAAGAAGAAGAAGAAGAAGAAGGAGAAGGAGAAGAAGATAGATTATATAACTCCACAAAGGTAAATCTTTTTAAAAAATCCAAGAGATGCTTAATGTAAAGAGAATGAGATACGAGAGTATGTAGCGAAACCAAGACTAGATTACATCAAAGGGAAGCAGTAGTTGCTGTCACTGACTGTGTGCAGGAGAATCCTTTGTGTCTTGCAGGGAGAGCATCTTCTTCAAGTGGCTTTTGTTAACGGAATGTCTTGTATGGGGTTTAAGGTTTAAGGCCTTGTTTCGCTTTGATTTTATTTTTTTGCTGTTTTCTTTAACAGGGCATTCCTATTTCATGATGTAGTGTTTTAGTGTTGTAGTGAGATTGTATTAAGTAGTTATAAGTGATTTGCAGTTTTTTTGTATATATTTCTTGTTTCTTAGTATCAGATTTCAATCTCTGTCTGTCTGTCTCTCTCTCTTTCTCTCTCTCTCTCTTACTCTCTCTTACTCTCTCTTACTCTCTCTTACTCTCTCTCTTTCTCTCTCTCTTTCTCTCTCTCTTTCTCTCTCTCTTTCTCTCTCTCTCTCTCTCTCTCTCTCTCTCTCTCTCTCTCTCTCCTCTCTCTCTCTCTCTCTCTCTCTTCTCTCTCTCTCTCTCTCTCTCTCTCTCTCTCTCTCTCTCTCTTCTCTCTCTTCTCTCTCTTTCTCTCTCTCTCTCTCTTCTCTCTCTCTCTCTCTCTCTCTCTTCTCTCTCTTCTCTCTCTCTCTCTCTCTCTCTCTCCTCTCGTCTCTCTCTCTCTCTCCTCTCTCTCTCTCCTCTCTCTCTCTCTCTCTCTCTCTCTCTCTCTCTCTCTCTCTCTCTCTCTCTCTCTCTCTCTCTCTCTCTCTCTCTCTCTCTCTCTCTCTCTCTTTCTCTCTCTCTCTCTCTCTCTCTCTCTTTCTCTCTCTTTCTCTCTCTTTCTCTTTCTCTCTCTTTCTTTCTCTTTCTCTCCCTCCCTCTCTCTCTACCTCCCTCTTTCCCTTCCTTCCTCCCTCCCTCTCCCCCTCCCTCCTTCTCTTCCTCTCTCCCTCCCTCTTTCTCTCCCTCTCTCCCTTCGTCTTTCCCTCCTTCCCTCTCTCCCTCTCTCCCTCCCTCCCTCCCTCCATCTCTCCCTCCATCTCTCCCTCTCTCCCTCCTTCTCTCCCTCCCTCCCTCCCTCCATCCCTCCCTCCCTCTCTCCCTCTCTCCCTCTCTCCCTCTCTCCCTCTCTCCCTCCCTCCCTCGCTTCCTCTCTTCCTCCCTCTCTCCCTCTTTCATTCCCTCCCTCCCTCCCTCTCTCTCCCTCTCTCCCTCTCTCCCTCCCTCCCTCCCTCCCTCCCTCCCTCCCTCCCTCCCTTCCTCCCTCCTTCTCTGCCCCATCCCTCTCTCCCTCCCTCTTTCCCTCTTTCACTCCCTCCCATCCTCCCTCCCTCTCTCCCTCTCTCTCCCTCCCTCCCTCCACAAGCAAAGAGAATCACGGTCCCGCTCTCTTCCCAGTTTCGCGGAGACGGAGAAGGAAGATAGAAAGAACTTGAATTTAAAAGAAAGAAGACCATATACCTATCAAGAGCTTGTATTAAACTGATAATCGAAACGCGGAGAGAGGGAGAGAGAGAGAAAAAAAATAGAGAGAGAGAGAGAGGGGTAGGAAAGAATAACAGAGAAAAACCGAGAGGAGGCGCTCGCTAGCACCCTCGGCCGCCCCCTCCTCCCCCTCTCTTCCTCCTTTCGATGTCCTGCCCCTTCCTGCAGAACGCCCGCGAGGTGGTGACGTCCTGGCCGGAGGTGTGGGGCACGCAGGAGGTCGCAGGACGTCAGTGCTGGGCCAGGGTGCGCCTCCTCGACTCCCTGGTGCACGTCCACGCCCTTCAGGAAACTCCTCCGCCCGCCTCCGCCGTCACTGTGCCTGTGAGTTCAGTGTGTGTGTGTGTGTGTGTGTGTGTGTTTATTTCTTTGTGCGTATGTGCACACGAGGGGCGCTTATTAGATATTTCCCCTGGCCCACTTCCTAGGAAGCTGAAATGCCACATGCATAATCACACATCTCTATAGGCCGTGTCCTTACCACATAATGCGATTTCTGTTACAGCGGTGGTGTTAGTAGGATGTGATCAGGTTTTTATGGCCTCATTTCACGTAGTTTAACCTCAGCATCGCCAGTTCAGGTGAGGTCGGAGATCACTGAAAGCGGCTCCCATCCCACGGCGACCCCAGTCTGCCATTGCTGAGGACATCATCCATCAAGTGGAGACTGCCATTTTGGAAGATCGCCGTATTACTGTTCGTTAGCTATGCCGAAATGTCAAGATTAGTGTTTGGTCTGTGGATAAGATTATTCTTGAGTAACTGCATATGCTTGATGGGTCTTCAGACTACTTACACCTTTCCAGAAGCAGGAGCGAGTCCATTATTCCAAGGCTCTTTTAGCCATGTGCCAAGAAAACCGGATTTTTTTTAATAGACAATTTACAAAGGGTGAAACTTGAGTCTATCACTATGATCCTGAAAGTAAGGGCCAGTCAAAACAATGGAAGCACTGTGACTTAAAAAGGCACATGTCACACCCTCGGCAGATCATGCTCACGGTCTTTTGGACCAACACGGAGTAGTGATGATAAATTTCCTGGCAAAAAATACGACAATTATAGTTATGAGTTAAGGAAATCAACACACATAGAGATATGTATGATTATGCATGTGAAATTTCTGCCTCCTAGGGTCAGGGCAAATCTTTAATGTAAAAAAGGAATAGTTTATTTATATCCCTAACATTTCTGTTTTATTTAAGACGCAACAGATAACAGCTGTCATAACTGTCCTTTTAGGGATAATCCAGAACTTGTGACAAACAACTGCTTCATTTTTTGTCACATTAGAACGGCCACAGACACACAAAGCCACAATCTAAAAATGTACCTTATCTAAGCCGGTTGTCAGCAAGTGTATTCGCCCCGATAAAAGTAAATCATTTGATCAAGTATCTGGTAACTCAAAGCAGATAAGAGACAGGAAACAATAGAGCTGCCAAGTTTGTGCAAGATTAGATACAACCTTTGATGACATAAGTGGCAGATGCATGACTGTACGAGACAACACGTGAAGAAGAAAGATGGTGGAGGATGGAAGTAAGTGGGTACACGTGGTATGGTAGATTAGGAAACAGGGAGGTGGAGACGTGAGAAGAAGGGGTGATAAGGGGATAGGTTTGTGGGGTTTGACTGTGTTATAGGACGAAGAGGGATGGAAAATGGAGGTGATTCTGACGTGTATATGTATTGTTGTGTTTAGTGTGTGTTTAGTGTGTGTTTTCTCTTCTGTATGTTAATTATTTCGGTTTATTATGGTAACTATTTTTATCGTTCATGTACTAGGAACTTCACTGTAGGGGAAGAGGGGAGGAAGAGAGAGGGGGTAAACGGGGGGGGGGGGGGGCACAGGGAACAAAGACTAGTGTTTATGACAGTCACGTTAAGTATGTGAACTTTTATTGATTCAGGAGATGAGGTCCACCAAGACTTTCGGGAATGATAAGTCGTTGATGAATAAGGCATTCTTGTGTAAGTCTTTTGTGCCGAGTATTTTTTGTTTTTATTTTATCGGTGCTAACCCCCTCCCCCCCTCCCCCAGGCGAAGGAATGGAGGAGGAGAGCCTGTGCTGCACCGTGTGCCAGGAGCGCTTCTCAGACACGCGCACGCCACGCCAGCTCACCTGCGGCCACTCCATCTGCTCGCCGTGCGTCCGCGGCGTCATCGACAACGACCGCCGCTGCCCCGAGTGCCGCCGCACCTTCGACGCCACCAACCCCGACGACCTCGCAGTCAACTACCAGCTGCTGCGGCTCGTGCGGTGCCTGGCGAGCGGCGGGCCCCCGCAGTTACTGCTGGACGCAGGCGGCGTGCGCGAGCCAGACGCGGGCCGCTGCGAGGCGCACGGCTCGCTGCGCTTCTTCCGGTGCATGAGCTGCGGCGCGTGGGTTTGCCGCGACTGCCTCGTGTTGGAGCACGTGGGGCCGCCGCGCGGCACGTGTAGGGTCGTGTCCTCGTCCAAGGCCATCGCGGAGATGAAGGAGAAGCACCTGCAGGCGCTCCGGGAGGAGTCGGCCGCCCTGCTGCAGGCCAAGAGCCTCAGCGCCG